TATATATATATAAAGAAGTAAAGAAGAGGAATAAAAAGGACAAATTCTCTCCCCTTAAGGAGTTTAGAATCAAGTAGATGTAACAAAACACAGGAAAATAGTTCTAGAACACTTGCTACACAACATGTAAATAAATGAGTAGTGATTGCTAAGATGTAAGCAAGAGGAAATGAGCAGTATGAGAGTTGATACGTTCACTGATCATTTACAAACACCTCTGTTGGGTCCTCTACCCTACAAGAGATATGTGTGTAATGTCTACAACATACACTTAGCACCTACATTAATATTATCATTCCAACACTGAGATTCTTTGGAGATGTTCTCGTTCTTGTCTTTGTTTTTAAAAATAGTCTCTGCTAGACTCTCAGCTCCTAAAAGAGGTGGATGATGATGAAGAAAGACGATGATGATAGGGGCACCTCGCTGGCTCAGTCAGAAGAAGATGCCACTCTTTAAACGTTTATTTATTTTTGAGACAGAGAGAGACAGAGCATGAACGGGGGAGGGTCAGAGAGAGAGGGAGACACAGAATGGGAAGCAGGCTCCAGGCTCTGAGCCGTCAGCCCAGAGCCCGACACGGGGCTTGAACTCACGGACCGCGAGATCGTGACCTGAGCTGAAGTCGGCGCCCAACCGACTGCACCACCCAGGCGCCCCTGAAGATGCCACTCTTGATCTCAGTGTCCTGAGTTTGAACCCTGCACTGGGTGTAGAGATTACTTACATAAATAACACCAAGAAAAGACAGGAAAAAGCTAACTGGAAGACCAGAATTTTGAACTGAATTCTTTGGTGGAGGAAGGAAAGAGAAACAGAACCAATTGAATCTGCACGTTTGGGGATGTAGTTAGTACTTAGCAAACGTAAGCCATTAATGACTGTGAAATATACCAGTGAAGTGAGTTTTCCTGGTTCTTCCCTTAACCCTCCCCTCTACCTTCTACACCCCATCAAGGAGCATTAGATCCTCTGTCTTCCTCATACAATCCAGTTGATGCCGTTTATGTAAAGAGCAAGGTTGGAAGGCCGAGAGAGGGAGAGAGAGAGAGAAAGAGAGAGAGAGGGAGGGCTGGAAGTCATGGTACTCCTGTCAGTGCCCTCAGAAAATTACATTTTTAAAGAACTCCAGGAAAGGCTACGCCCTATTTTCCCAGTAACCCAAACCGCGTGAGTTTCCAAGTAAGTTCTTTTTGTTGTCTACCCTATTTCTCTTCTCTTGAAATTTAAACTCTGAGCGCTGAAGATAAAGGGGAGAAGGAGGCAGAGGCCTGGCTCTCCCGATAGCGACTAAGCAACGGGTAGCTAAGGATCTCCGCCTTGGCGTAAGTGGGGAAACCCGCGCCCCCAAGAGGCCTTAACGCCCACAGCAACTCGACCCCGCCGCCGGTATCACGTGATGGTGCGGCGCGGCGGGTAGACTACAACTCCCACTGTGCCGCGCGGCACGCCGGCGTTACAAAGCTCTCGCTCATTGGTCGCTGGAGATATTTGAAAGGGGGGGCTGGCGCGGAAAACGAAGGTTGAGTCCTTGGGTTTTTGCAGAGCTCTTCTTCTGGCGAGTAAGTCCTGGACCTGGTGGGGAGGCGACCTCTGGGGCGATAAAGCCCAGAGGAACTCGTGAACGTGTGTACGTGCCAAGGTGAGGTGGGGTCCCGGCGCTGACTTGAGGGGAGGGGCGGCTCTGCGAAGGAAGGTTGGGAGACCTCCGGATGTCCTGGTGAGCTCCGAACTCAGTGGAGGCCTCCCGGTATGGAGCGTTGGGGTGGTGGAATGGGTAGTGAGGCTCCGGATCCCCCGAGAGGAAGGAGAAGCAGAGGCGTCCGTTTATAACGGGAGCCTGCTGTCCTGACATGGGCGTTTTTCCCGAATAGGGTTTCTTTCTTTCTGTCTGTTTTTCTTTCTGTCTTTCTTTCTCCTTCCCTTCCCTTCCCTTTACCTTCCCTTTACCTTCCCTTTACTTTCCCTTACCTTCCCTTTTCTTGTAATCTCGTAATCTCTACAAAGTGGAACTGGAAGTGACGACCCGGAGATCAAGAATCCCACAGCTCCACTGACTGAGCCAGCCAGGCGCCCCTCCCGATAGGATTTCTCATGGGATTCTTTGCAAACAACCCCCCCCCCCCCCACCGCCCCTCACTTCTGCAGCCTTCAAGCCTTCTCCTGCCCTCCATTATGAATCTTCTCCGCCTACTCTAATCCTTCTCCTTTTCCCTAGCCCTCCAACGCCATGAGGAGCTTCAAAGGAATCAACTTTGGGACCTTGCTAAGCAGCGTGAAGGAAGCTGAAGAGTTGCTGCCTGACTTGAAGGTAGGATTGTGTCTGGCTCTGGATACACCTGGCTTTCCAAGATGAGCTGGGGTTTTTTGTCTTATATGAAGAGATAACTAATAGGGGATCCTCTCCTGAGAAGCCCCCTTTCTAGTTATCTTTCCCTACTTTGGTGGTCCCAATCACAGCTTCCTCTCCTCTTAGGAGTTCCTGTCCAAGCTTCCAGCTGGTTCATCCAGCTGCCGATCTGATGCCGAGAGGAGACAAGCTTGTGATGCCATCTTGAGGGCTTGCAACCAGCAGCTGACTGCCAAGCTGGCTTGCCCTAGGCACCTGGAGAGCCTGCTGGAACTAGCGGAGCTGGCTTACAATGGCTACTTGATGTCTACCCCCCAGCGCCCACCCCTGTACCTGGAACGAATTCTCTTCATCTTTTTGCGGAACATTGCCACACAGGGAATCCCAGAGGCCACGCTCCGATTCGCAAAACCCCTTCATGCCTGTTTGGTGCATTGCTCTCGCCAAGCTGCTCCCCAGGACTATGATGCTGTGGCGCGAGGCAGCTTTTCTCTGCTTTGGAAGGCAGCAGAAACCCTGGAGGAGCGGCGAGCTGCATTATCAACTCGGCTGAAGGCCTTGAGCTTTCTTGTACTCTTGGAGGATGAAAGTACCCCTTGTGAGGTTCCCCACTTTGCTTCTCCAACAGCCTGTCGAATGGTAGCTGCCCATCAGCTATTTGATGCCACTGGGCACAGTCTGAATGAAGCCGATGCTGATTTCCTAGATGATCTGCTCTCCAGGCATGTGATCAAAGTTTTGGTGGGTGAGGGAGGGGGTTCTCCTGGTCCTCTTTCTCCCCAGAGGGCCCTCTGTCTCTTGGAACTCACCCTGGAACGTTGCCGTCGCCTCTGCTGGAGTGGCCACCATGCCAAGGCCACGAGAGTAGTGGAGAAGACCCATGATTACCTAAGGAACACCAGTCTGGCCCCCAGCCTCCAGTTATGCCATCTTGGGGTTGAACTGCTACAGGCTGGGGAGGGAGGATCCCAGGCACTGGCCGAGCTTCTGATCAAGGCATCAGCTGTCCTGAACAACAGTGTGGAGGCACCATCACCCCCATTGCGGGCATTATGTGACAGCTGCCAGTTCTTCCTCTCAGGACTGGAGCGAGGCATCAAGAGACGCTATGGACTGGATGCTGTTCTGGGCCTCTTTGCTTTTCTTGGCGGGTACTGCTCTCTCATCCGGCAGCTGCAGGATGGTGTGAGTTAAGAACCTAGAGGTAGGGTGGGAATGTGGTTCTGCAGACTATCAGGCTAAGGTCTTTGGTAAGATCTGGAAGCCCTGGCTCCCTCCTCAGTCAGCTGCTCTCTGGATTATGCCTCGTGCAGCCACCAGCAGCCTAGTCTACTCTGGGAGGGCCATGGCCCCTCCTAATGCCCTTCTTCCTACTCCCTGGGCTGAGTCAGCTCTCCAGGACTCTGGGCCAGTCTTCAGTTTGGAGCTCATCCTGTATCTCTGCCTCTCAACCCAACCTTCCCCTTCCTTCCTCAGGTCTGTGGGGATTCCTCCAAGCAGCAGCAGTCTCTGGTTCAGATGCAATTTCAGGGACTTCACCTCTACACTGTGGTGGTTTATGACTTTGCGCAAAGCTGTCAGGTACAGTCTGGGAATCAAAAGACCTGGACACGTCCTGGGGTCTGGGGTTGCTGGACTGCCCTGGTAGAGCTTTGGAGTTGCTTTGGGTTTGGGGTGGGGTAGATGTCACCTTGGACCTATTATGTCTCTTCTGACTCTCAAGACCTTCTTGTCCCTTTAGGTAACTGATTTGGCTGACCTGGCCCAGCTGGTGGAAAGTTGCAAATCTACTGTGGTCTGGATGCTGGAGGCCTTACAGAGCCTGTCAGGCCAAGAGCTGACTGACTACCTGGGCATGACTGGTTAGTGCCCTGGGGCCCAGATGCAGGGGGGAAGGTCATCACTCACTAGGCAGACAAATAGCACTTGCTGGATGGTTCTGACCACCTTGGGGGCTCCTTGTGGTTTAAGGAGGCAGTGAAAAAAATGTTCTTAAGTGACCCTCATCACTTGTACTTATAAACATTTACAGGGGTGCCTGGGTGCTCAGTTGGTTAAGCATCCAACTTTGGCTCAGGTCATGATCTCGTGTTCATGGGTTCGAGCCCCATGTTGGGCTCTGTGCTGACAGCTCAGAACCTGGAGTCTGCTTCGTGGATTCTGTCT